TGTCTGTCTGTCTGTCTGTCTGTCTGTCTGTCTGTCTGTCTGTCTGTCTGTCTGTCTGTCTGTCTGTCTATTTATTTCCCTGATATATTAGTGTGTGGTTGAAAGGGTGAATAAGGTATATTAACCCTTTATAGGGCACTCAATGAAATACTTTAAAATTAAAAAATTCAACCTTAGAGTCTCATTGGACAACATAATAAGACTTTATTCCAATTGTGACATTTTTGAAATTTTTTTATTTTCATGTTGAAAATCGAGTTCAATGAAGTTACCATATTTGGTAACTTGCCCTTTAGTGGTAAAAATGTCAAGGCCAATGAAGTGATCAAATTTGGTCACTTGCCTTTAAGTGGGAAAACAAATTCCAATAAGTATACATAGATAAAAATACATATAATGCAGGTACTGCACTAGCGCCGGGCTGGTGAAAATGTTATCAGCATAGATGGCTGTGGTGGTGGGGAAGGACATGGTACTGGCAAGGACAGATACAATCTGGCTGGTGGCACCTAAGCCTTCTTGTTCAGGTTTCAGGGGAACATCATGGGCCTCCAGGGTAGTCCTGCCCTGGTTTAGCACAATGTCATGGATGAAGCCGTCCTCAGATGCCCTGGCAAACAACTTTAAACCCCACTTGTCTGGCTTGCTTTTGATATATTGCCTCAGGTTGTCAAGTGGCAAAAATCACTCATAATTACTATTCATAAACTAAAAACACAGTGTTGAAATTGAGCAGAATCACTGTATAGTGATATAAAAAACTTTTGCGACCTTAAAACATAATATGCTAAGTTGTATTGCTTTATTTGTAAAGAACATGCATAGTATGTTTTGTTAGATGCATTGGGCATATGTCCAAAAACAGACATTCCAAGTAAAATCTAGTTTTTAGTGAAAAGGGCATATGATCAAATATGGTGCCTGCATTTTTCATGCCGTATTTTCAATAATTTTAATAATTCCTCAGCAAACAACTTGTATGTCAACACTAAACACAACTATTCAACAATAAAATGTATGAGTTTCATCAAGTTCACATGGTTAGTTTTGATGTTTCTTTTGAAAATGTCCAGTGAACCGAGCTGCAAAAGCTCATTTTTCTGACTTTGGAGAAAGTGTCCGCGGTCCCTGCTGATTGGTCAAACTACAAAACAAAGTAACCTATAATGTAGGGTGATCTTTGCTGATTGGCTGGATAAAGATAAAATTATTCTAGAACTCACTGAGACGGGGGATGGGCGCGAAAACTAACAGGTGCCTCTGACTGCAGCGCTGAGAGGGAGTCGCTTTTTCGAAAAAGAGTCGCTGGAGGGGTCTGAAAAGTCGCTAAATATAGCGACAAAGTCGCTGAGTTGGCAACACTGATCACTTCTGCCAGAAAAGTAGAGCTTGTGTTGAATTAAAGCAAGTTTTTTTTCTTGAGTATTGTACACTGTACTGTGTGTTTGCGTGCATGTGTGTGTATGTGCGTGTGTATGTGTGTCACAGCCAATCAGCTCCTGCCCAGCTCTGTGCTCCCTCCTCTTCCAGCCCTTGCTTGCCTGACAAATATTGCATCGATCAGCTGTGCTGCTATTACAACTGCTCATACCCCCCCAGAGCTGAGCTGCCCGCGTCCACTAAGATGTCTCTTGAGGTAAGCTTCCATTGCTTTCTACTCTGCTTGATATATATATTTCTCTGATATGTGTTCAGATACTGCATCATTCTCGTCACATCAGTAGCGGCTGTGCTGTTATTAGACGCCGTTCAGCCTCTGTGGTGTCATCCATCTTTGAAAGAGTGATGACTGGACGTTATAAAACCACGATTGAAGTGTACCATCCTCTTGCTGGTCATGATGCTGCAGCTTGAAAATTCCTCTCTTTACCATCACGATAGTTCACCTTAAGTGAACAATTTTAAAAACATTTTTTAAAGGTGAGGGTTTCTGCTATTAAAAATAGCTTCATGGGAAGCTATTAATGGGAATTAATGCAGTACTGCATAAAAGTATTTTGGGTTCATAACTAACCTAAAAGCAACTATAATTATCTGCTCTGCAATGCCCCAGATCTTTTGTGAAGCAGATTGTTCAGGCAGGCACAAAAGTGCCAGTCTTGAATAAAAGCCCATTGTTTTTCTCCAACTTGAGCAACAATCGGTTTCCCAGGCACTGACCCATGGCTAGACTGCCATGTTAATTTTTTTTTATTCAGTGCTACCTTAAGCTAATTAGTATGCCCATTCCTATTTTGTCCAACAACCCAATTCTGGCAATGCAGAATCCAAATCAGCTTAATATGCCCCTCTTGGCAGGGAGAGGGACTTATTCTCATAGTTAACCTATTTGTATTATCAATGTTTCTTTTCTGATCGTCATTACAACTTAAGGCAGAGTTTAAAACGGTGGCGGAGGATGTGAAGAAGGTGAAGACGAGGCCTTCAAATGATGAGCTGCTGATCCTTTACGGCCTCTATAAGCAGGCCCTTGTTGGAGACATTAACACTGGTATGACTCGCGCATATAGACATTATCCATTTGTGTTTTTTCACAAAAATGATAGCCTTTTCTTAAAAAAACGTGTTGTCTATAGACAGACCAGGAGGGCTAGACGCAACAGGAAAAGCCAAATGGGATGCCTGGGACTCCAGAAAAGGTAAAAGGTTGCAATATTTTGACCTCAGGGGCCTGTTCTCAGGCACTGAAAAAAAGAAAAAGATGATTTGATGATGAAGAGTTGATTGTCGATTCAAGGTTTGACAAAATTTGGATTTAGATGTCCTCTTTTTTTCTAATATTTGCATGTACAAAAAGAGTTTGATAAAAAAAGAAAAAGCTGACTGTCAGGAAAAGTCAAAGCATCACAGAAATGATTTGACTTGAATGTTTGAGCAAGTGGCAAATCATCCAACCCCCAGACATATTTCCAAATAGATCTGTGCTCTGAGAAAAAAGATGCAAAGATATTGCTAAGTTTTTTTGTTGAAACAAGTCTTTTGTGTTTATGCTCTCTTTTAGGAATGTCCAAGGATGATGCAATGTCAACTTACGTCAAGCATGCTAAGGAAATGATTGGCAAATATGGGATGTAGTATTTGCAGTAAATTTTAGACAGGCATCGGGACTGGAAATGTGATGTGATGTCATAAAAACTACTACTTCAGTTGCTAAAACAAAAACTGCTGTTTGCCCTCTGCTTTCAGGGTCCATCATTGTGCAGACTAATGTATGTTCACGACTGTTCCATGTCAGGACACTTCTTTTTTACACTGTTAAACTTCTATGCACCCTTGAAAATGATACTAAATGTACTTTAACGGCTGCACTGATACAAATCTAATTTAAAACAAGAACAAACTAAATATCAAGGTGCACAGTTTGAATAATACAATTGTTTCTGTTTTTGTGTCCCTTCTATGTGACTTTATTTTAAATGTGCATGAACTGCTCTTGCTCGAATGGTTAACATGGAATAAATGGAATAAACAATCACACACCAGTCATAGTGATAATAAAGGAAGGGAGCAAGGACTTTTCAGATATTTTTGTCTAAACCATGAGCATATGACAACATGTATATAGCTGTCTGTTCACAGAAGTACAGGAGAAGTACCGAGCCTGTTTACCGAATAAAGGACAACCATGAGTAAGAACATTTTAGAAAAAAGCACTCTTACTATAATGTGCATGCACTACGAAGACATTTCAGATTAAATGAAGAGGATTTGATCTCCGTCATTAACTTAATTACTTATAAAGTTACTTAATTACTACTACTAATAGTCATTGCTTTATTATCAATTAATTCATTCATTTTTTTTAAAGGCAGGCTTGTTAAATGTGATAATCTTATTGAGGAAATTAGTATGTGATCATTAAAACGTCTAGAGATAGCGTATTAACACCATGAGAGATTTCTTAAATTAATACGCTCTAATATTTTAGTTTTTGGATACAAATGAACAATGTTTCAGAGTCCTCGTGGTAAAGTATATTTTATGGTACGGTGTTGGTGTTGGAAAAAGGTTAATATTCAATGCCAGTTACATTCCTCCGATCATTTTAGGATAAGAACAAAGCTCATTTGTTCACTCAGGTCCATTTTTCCTGCTTCTGACGCTTGGCTGCTGCCACGGACTGGTCAGCTCGGACATTCCTAGCGTCATTAATTCATTCACACAATTAGGTCAAGCCAACAGAAGGCGCATGCGCACTGTAGCAGCGACCGGACAACCCACCGAGCAAGTGGCTCTTCACCCACATAGCCGACAAAAGACACCAAAGCCACGATACTCATGCTTTAACCTAAAGCCAAGAAGGTGAGCTGAAAGTGTTCGTAAAAATAACTTTTCCTGGTTGACTTATACGTAAACCACGTCAGAGGAGGTATAGAATTGGTCTTTAACCGAATGCTATACGACTTAACGTACTTTGACAGCACAGCGTTAACCTGCTTTGTAAAAGCTCAAACATAGCTAGCTTTTACTATAGTTTATGTTCATAGCAAGGTCAATTGCAATCCGTTGCTTTGAAATGGGTCGATAATTCTGCTTCTGCTCAGGATAAAAACACAGAAACCCTCCGATTGGTTAGTAAAACAGCTGTACCTCAAAGTTTATCACATTTAGCCCAGTCACCGCCAGGCGCCTCCATTGTAAAGCTTATACAGACATGCTAGACCTGAATGCTTTTTAAAATGATTAGAATTATTTTGTAAATCATCTCATCAGAGCAAAGCCCCTTTAGCTACAATTATCTGCTACACAGTCAGGCAGAACCCCAGATCTGATTGGCTGACTGGCTAAAAGTGTGTAGAGTAAAAAAAGTGCAGCCTGCATTATGGAAACGACTCGTCCACAGAAGGTCTGCCACAGCTGGGAGGTCAACCTAATGTCTGTTTGTGGTAAAGGGAGAAGAAATGGCTAGTCCTGTGTCAGAGCCAGCGCCTGAGCGGACCTTTCAGCACCAAAGCAGCCTGCCGCCTCTACCTGTCCCCTCTCTGCCCAGCAGCCTCTCCAAGTACCTGGATGCAGGTGAGTCACACACACTCAGATCTGTCTTCAATGTTTGCAGCATGGGCTTTAAATTGTTTAGTATCAGTAATTTGATACTAAGTTGCCACGGACTGCTTTCCTCTGTTTTCCTGTAATATTTCAGACTACAAAATATTGTGTAATCTTCTTCTTTCTTCTTTGATATGATGTGGACCCTGTAAAGCTCTTATCTTTGCTTTTGAACTGGATGACCGAGTCAATAGTCAGGTTCACACTGACCCAAAAAATGAAGTGAAGTGGAACCAAATTTTGTTTTGTGCGAGAGCAGAAATGTACACCGAGTTAGAACTAAATATAGATGCAGACTATAGATTGCAGACTACTCTCTCTTTTGCTCCATTAATGAATGATAATTTATTTTAGATTCATTAAAAATGTTTCCCCAAACAAGAACTTTTTCATTTTCATAAAAACAAGGTGGTTAACAGACAAACTGCTTTTTGTCACGTCTTCCATTCATTCACTTCCAGTTCGTCCATTTGCATCTGAGAGTGAGTTCAAAGCTACGGTGGACATTGTGAGGACGTTTCAGGAGGGTGTAGGGAAGGAGCTGCACCAGAAACTGCTGCAGAGAGCAAAGAAAAAGAGGAACTGGGTCTGTAGCTAAGCTGCCTTTGCTCCCCCCCCCCCCCCCTTTTCCTCCCATGCTGATTTTTTTTTTTGAATTGTCCGTCAGCTGGAGGAATGGTGGTTAGACACAGCCTACCTGGAGGTCCGCATCCCGTCTCAGGTGAACGTGAACTTCGGTGGTCCGGCGCCTTACCTGGAGCACTGCTGGCCTCCTGCTGAGGGGACGTCCCTACAGCGGGCCAGCATCACCACCTGGTTTTCACTCCAGTACTGGGACCTGATCCGGACGTAAGTCCTGCATGAAACCACGTTAACACTAACTGAACTTTTGTCATGTGTTTAATTGTAATTCATATAAAAAGGGTATGTTTTAACTCTTCCGTTTTAGGGAAAGGTTAGCCCCCCAGAAAGCTGGCAAAGCCCCGTTAGACATGGATCAGTTCAGGATGCTCTTCTGCACCTGCAAAGTACCCGGAGTGCAGAAGGACACCATTCGGAACTATTTCAAGACAGGTATAATAAACTCTGCTGTTACCTTGAACCGCCAGACACACCAGCAGAACTTTGAGCGCTTTATCAGCTCTCGGGTCCTGGTTACATAACATACGCTTTGTGCTGGTTTTCAGAGAGCGAGGGTCCGTGCCCTTCCCATCTGGTGGTGATGTGTCGTGGGCGGATATTTACATTTGATGCTCTGTGTGATGGAAAAATCCTTACTCCTCCAGAACTTTTCAGGTACTGGGCTCAAGCAAATGAGAAAACACACAAACACAACGAGCTAATTCGTCCTAATATGTCCTAATTTGAGGCTATTATATAAGGGATAATAACTTGTGGTTCAAGATCTCTCTCCAACTGAAAACATCTGTTTGACATCTTACTACAGGAAGATGCTTAGCAGGGCACAACACTTTTGATTCCCTGTGATGTTTCCTTAAAGTGTATTCACTGGCGTGTGAGTGTATATGGGTGAATGTGGCTAATAATGTAAAAGCACTTTAGGTGATCAGCTTTATTAGCACTATATAAGTAGAGTCAATTTACCATAATGCCCTTTTTTAAACGTCCATGTTGAGTATTATTAGCTATTAATATAATCATTACTATTATTATATTGTGCCACTGCTCTTGAGACTGCTTTAGACTCGACTGGGTATAGAAAATATTTTTTTTTTTTATACCTTGTAATGATCAATCGTTTTAGAACCCGTGTTCCTTTTAATCAAAGAGAACCTGCTATTTATGAACACTTGTTAAATGTAGAATGGTTTTGCCTGAGTTCCCTTCAGCACAGTTACACTTGCAGCAGTTTGTGAAGCTGCTCGCTGTGTGCAGTAGCAGATTATCATCGTGGCCTTTATGAACGTGTGAATGTGTGTGTGCAGGCAGCTGAGCTATGTTAAAGAGCGCTGTGAGGGGGAGCCAGAGGGAGACGGAGTGGCTGCTCTCACTTCTGAAGAGCGGACTCGCTGGGCAAAGGTTTGGAGTCACGTACTAAAGCAGATAATGGTGCCTGTTTTCATCTTGCCAAAGCAGTTTGAAGGATCTGCAGTTCTTTCCATTTCCCGGCAGGCGAGAGAACATCTTATAAGCATTGATCCCCACAATAAGTCAATCCTGGAGACCATTCAGAGCAGCCTGTTTGTCATATCCCTGGATGACAGCAAACCCTGCTCTACACCAGAGAACTACACAAATGTAAGAACCTTCCACATGTGAGTTGTGTTCTGAGTGCTCTGCATAAGTTTTTTTTTCCCGTACTTTCTGGACTTCTGTATATCTTGAATGCAGATTACTACGGAGGCCCTCGCTGGCAATCCCACCATCCGTTGGGGTGACAAATCCTACAACTCGATTGTGTTCTCAAATGGCACTTTCGGATCTACTTGTGATGTGAGTGTTTGTGTTTATTTAATCCAGGGGGAACTTAGAAAGTGAGCTGCAGGATTGTTGTGAGTGATTTGGCTCAAGTTTGAAACATCAGAGCTTTTTTTTTTTTTTTTTGAAGGAGTAAACACTGGTTCAGAAACTCAAAGCGACTTTTGTTTTGCAGCATGCGCCGTATGATGCTATGGTGCTGGTGTCTATGTGCTGGTATATGGACCAGGAAATCAAAGCTTCTGATGGCAAGTGGAAGGTAAGCTGTAATCTTGATTTGTAATATAAGTTGAAATAGTTTCTGTTTCTTTCTGCATCTCCTCACATGCTTGCACCGCTGCTTTTCAGGGCTCAGACGCCGTCAGGCCGATGCCCCCTCCAGAGGAGCTGCTGTTCACTGTGGACGAAAAGGTTCACAGCGACATCCAACAGGCCAAGCAGCAGTACCTGGAATCGGTGAGCCTTTGAAAAGTCTCCTGAAAAATGACTTGTTTGCGTTGTTTCAGCCGTGTGCCTCCCAACGCTGTTTCTTGCTAAACAGACGCAGGACCTTCAGACTGTGTGCTACGGCTTCATGGCGTTTGGAAAAACGGCCATCAGAGAGAAGAAACTTCATCCAGACACTTTTGTTCAGCTGGCGATGCAGCTGGCCTACTACAGACTGCACAAGAAGTACGTTACCAGGGCCGGTCATCTTATGGTGTGAAGCTAATGATGGCCGTGGCTCTAAATGTCCCATCTGGCACCTTCAGGCCAGGAAGCTGTTACGAGACAGCCATGACGCGGAAGTTCTACCACGGTAGGACAGAGACCATGCGACCATGCACGCAAGAGGCTTTGAGCTGGTGTAAAGCCATGATGGATCCCACAAGTGATGTAAATGTTCATCTTTTTTCATCAAAAAGTTGGTTTTTGAATTCTGCCAACATGTTACATGAATGTTTCTCTCAGATGCACACCAGGAGAAAAGCCATGCTGCTGGCCTTCGACAAACACAACACCCTGATGTCTGAGGCCAAAGAGGGAAACGGTGAGGTCTTCTGACACATCCTCATGTAATCTAGAAGCGAAACATGCTTTTTTACACGGATAACAGGGTGAACCCCGCCTCTCGCCCGTTGTCAGCTGGGTAGGCTCCAACCCCCACACTGCCCTGTCGGGGATAAGCCAAATAAAAAACTTCCTTTAGGGGTTTGGATTTGGGTTTGTCATCATGAGTTCATAAAAAGGTCACACATTTCTTGATCAATATCAACCAAATAAAAGTTGTAAAATACACAGAAAGTTGACAACAACCAACCTCATAACACTGGGTTTCAAAAAGCAGGAAACAGCTGGACTAGACCCTTTTCATTGTTTTGCCTCTTATTTTCTCTCTATCACTATGCAGATTTAGTTATACTTTGAATTCCTAGACATCATCAGAATAATAAAATAAAAAAAACACCTAAATATGTGTTCATGGTATTTTACTCATGTATATTTGCAACTATATTAACAGGTTTTGATCGACATCTTCTTGGATTGTATCTCATCGCCAAAGAGGAGGGACGTCCCACACCAGAGCTGTTCATTGATCCTCTCTACTCACGGAGGTACAACTCTTCAGCACATTTTGGTCTTTCGAGCAACCTCCCAGCAATGGATGTTTAATTTGCCCTCCACCAGATTATCCATCCGCTGAACCTTTCTATCACTGTTTGTGTCTTCAGTGGTGGGGGTGGAAACTTTGTGCTGTCGTCCAGTCTGGTGGGTTACACCACAGTTCTGGGGGCGGTGGCTCCCATGGTGCACCATGGATACGGCTTCTTTTACCGCATCAGGGACGACAGGTGGGCAGGCAACACTGATGCCTATTCTCAGATTTCATTTAGTTTATAATATTTATACCAAGCTAATTAACCTCTGCCGTCAGCTTTTAATTTAGTTGTTTTTATTTCCTTGGTCGTTGATACAGTTAAACAATAATAGACTCTTAGATTAGAATCGATTCAGTCTGTTGCCATTGATCAAATCTGAACTGTCCTTCCTCGTGTAGGATTGTGATTTCCATCACAGCATGGAGATCTTACCATCAGACCGACGCTGCCTCCCTGTTCAATAACTTCTCCAGCTCCCTGCACGAGATGCTCCACCTTGCCACCACGTCTCAACTTTAAACTACTTGAAAGAAAAAAGAGGAATCTAAATATTTGTCATTTTGCCTGCCTCCTGCCTTGCTGTGAGTAACATCAGGTATCTACTGACAGATCGGCACAAATCAATGCAAAGGGGCAGAAACTGCTCCACCATGTGATCTCTTCTGGTTTTGCTGTAGGTGTTTTTTTTAGAAATTGTCCTTCTGAATGAATGTTTTTCCTGATTTTACGTTTTTGTGAATAATCTTCTTCTTCTTCTTCTTCTTATTATTATCATCATAATCACTAAATCTTACCGTTCATCCACACAGTGTTACTAATATTTTAGCTAAAACCTGGCCTGGTCTTTTGCCGATTTTAAATGTGATCTGAAGAAGGGACTCTTGAGTTCATTCATTGTAAAAAATGATTGTGGTATGATTTTTGGCTCAATTTTTTGCTTTGAAAAGTCAGTTCACTCCAACACTATTACTATAGAGTTCTCAGCTATTTTCATGAAGCAGATCACACATTTTATCTGCCATATAATTTAAAAAGTCTTTTTCCACGGGGTGCACTTCTTTTCTTGTGTTCTCAGTGTTTGGCAGAGAGTTTGACTGTGCTGTGAACCAAGTGCATCCTGTTGCAGGATGTACACGCTTTGACCAAACAAGGCATGCTAAAAAGCCACAATTAATTTGTTTTAAATGGACTTTCAGTCCTCAGAATAATCTGGAATGTAACTCAACTCATTTGCCTTAACGCACACAGGGCTGAGCACGCTGCCTCTCAGTCTCTCTTCAGATCCACTACCAGTTGTCTTCCACTCTGCTGAGGTGCTGCACAGGTAGTGTTTTTTGGACTTTAGTTCATGGCACCTAAACCTCATTAAGTTGGTCACTTTCTGTACTTTTAAAATCATGTTGATAATTTCTGAATGTCGTTATAGCTTTTTTTAATGTTGACTGCTGTCATCATGTTTTCCTCCAGCATTTCAAGCCTTACAATAATGAAACTGTTTTTTTGTAAATAGGGAAAAGAAATCTTTGAAAATGCTATTTTAACTGAGCATAATCTTTAGAAAAAAACCCCTGATGTGCACCATTTTAAATAAATTGTAGTAACAATGACGACTTGTTAAATAAATGAAAACAAAAGTAATGGTGAAATTCTCATTCATGGGATCCATTTTGTTTTTTTATATAAAACTACCATGGTAACTTAATGTTTGGGGAGGTTGTCTAGAGTTTTCAAACAGATTTACACATGCTTCAGTTGGTTGAAATTATTAAAAACAGAATTTTTATATATCAAACTTTAATAGTTACACATTCTCAAGGAAATGGTATTAGTCATGTAGAAACAAAATTTATAATCTCAGTGAATATCGATACGAACATGAACAAAATTCACATCCAGAGTATTTTTAAGTGCTCACACTCTAGATTTATCTCAGACATTTACCCAGTTACAGTGATGGTCCCATAATTAAAGGCATACCTGGTGGTAGAGTAGTGGATTTTTAGCAGTTATCACTGCATTTATGATTGTTTTCAGTTGCAAAAGGTTAAATCAGAAATCAAAAGTTTGCATCTGAACACCAGGAGGTGAACTAAAAAAAAAACAACTACTTTCCGGGAAGCAAAGAAATGCATCTTAGAAGGAAACCAGATTCCAAATATACTATCTGCTCAGACAAATTCCCACCATTACAGGGAAGGAAGCAGAAAACTGCTCAAAATAGCCGACAATTGAATTCAACCTCTTTTGGGCCTTGTACCTCCAGAGTCCTCACCTCCACGTTTCTCCCTGTAAGTTGGAAGGTGATCCAAGCATGTTGCCTTTATTCAAAAAGTAAATCTGGTGGAGAGATCAGGCTATAAATGTACAATGTGGCATTAAAGTGAACCACAAAAGCCCCAAAGGTGAGCGAGGCTGCCCATAAGGACACCGGTTTGCTTTTTGAAAAAGTGTTGATTGTGTTGCTCTTTAAAGTAGAATATGTGAGCAGATATGTTTGAGTCATGAGAAGAACAAAACGAATAAATCCAGTTAGAACAAACGGGTCCTGATTCAGTAAGTATCGAACGGGTGTTAAACTGTGACCTGGGCTCAGCATGTACAAGACATATCCAGTGCATTTTTTTTTTCCTACTGTCACAAACCCAATAACTTATTTGAGGAGGATGCATAAAAGTGACGGTTCATCGAGAAGGAAACAGCATTAAGGCTTGTGTTCGGCCGTCCATTGAACTCATTTAACAGCACCGATGTGAAGCAGGAAGCTTATCGGGCGAGGCACAAGTGCTTAACCCCGCCCTGATAAAGACCACCGGCAGGTGAGGCCGCTCATCCCGACGCGTGGCCGAGCTGCGTGGTGACCAGCATGTAGTACACTCCCTTCTTGGCCAGCAGCTGCTGGTGCGTCCCCTGCTCCACCACCACGCCTCCCTGGAAGACGGCGATGCGGTCGGCGTTGCGGATGGTGGAGAGACGGTGGGCCACTACGATGCACGTCCTGCCCCGGCTGGCCTGGTCCAGGGCATCCTGCACCACCTGCGCAAGGACAGTCTCGGATAAGTCTCGAGCACAGGGGCTCGTCTTTACTCATTTGGAACGCCTGCGCGTCAGCGGCGAGGTCAGTATGGGACGGACCTTCTCGCTCTCCGTGTCCAGGGCGGAGGTGGCTTCGTCCAGCAGCAGCACCTTGGGGTTGCGGAGGATGGCTCGGGCTATGGCTATGCGCTGCTTCTGCCCTCCTGATAGCTGGGTGCCCTTATCACCCGCCTGGGTGTTGTACTTCTGCTCAGAACAGAAACAACAAGCTCATCGTGGTGTTGCAGAACCCCGCCGAAACAATCTCATCCTCTCAGGAATTTTTTTGTTCTATGCCAGTGTGAAATCTCTCTGTTTTGTTTTTATTTTTTTACTTTCACTTGTACAGTCAATTACAATTCTGTCAGTTTATCTGAGGTCCTGACAGCCTTCAGATCTTATAAAGATGCTGGGTGAGACAGACTGGCCGTATTTGTAAAACAGTTCTCTCTTAAAGATGCGTTCACACCTCCATGAAGACTGTTCAACAAGAAATGTGATCCGACAAGCCCCTCTACAGCCATCAGCCCGCAGACCATCTGTTTCTGACAGCTCAGGCCAGTGCAATCTTTTGTTTAAGGAGACAGAAGGATCATGGCTGTCTACACCTCAACAACAATGCCCTAATATCAGTTTGAGCCTGTGGACATAGAACCAAGCACCCAGCCTTGGTCACCACTGAGAGGGTCAACAATCTGACAGGTGATCCTCTACGTCCTCACATGACCCTATCTCTACAAAATGTTCTTTTTGATCAAAGGGCTTTTTTTTTTGCATTTGAAGTTGTTGCTAAAGGTCTGTGATGCATTTTAAAAAAGCAGTTTACTACTGTTTATATAGGGATCAGTCCTTGACCTTTAGGCATTGCATTTATCAAGGCACCTGTGCAATCTTTTCATAAACTAACTGCTCAAAACACATTTTACAGTCGTCTTAGTCATTTTATTATAAGACATTGTTCTTTTAGTTCCTTTTATATTTGAAGATAGTGTTATCTATCACTGCCTTCTTCAGGGCTGTAAAATGGGGTTTTGCCCCATTTTGAGAGATACTTAATGACTTTGTTTCTTTATCATTAAAAATGAATTCCATTTTAAGATCTAAATAAATAGGTTTCTGAAATTATGTTTGCGCAACATGTAATTGATCGCACTGCCTGGCAAAATAAAAGCCGAATAAATAATAACGTTTTTCTTTCTTCAGATTTACATATATTTTCACTCTTACACTAACCATAATCAGAGCGTTTGAAATTTGAATATCACGAAACGTTAAAATTGACTATGTTTTGAAAAAGTAACACCGCTGGCTGCTTCCTGCCGTCAGAGCTGCATCAGTTGTGCGCTGCATGTTGGAAAACTAGAGATAACAGTGGCAGAAGTGGATATTTCTAAATATACATTTTAACAGAGACATATACTAGTCAAATTCTCCATTAAGTTTGTCAGGAACTACCAGTCACATAAGTGAGGGGGGGGGGGGCTTTTCACTTGTTTGTAAAATGTAGTAAAACTACTTATCTGAGCTGTGTAAAGTAATTCAGACTTACCAGGGGCAGTTCTTGTATGAAGCTGTGGATGTTGGCTGCTTTGGCAGCGGCCTCGATCTCCTCCATGCTCACGGTGCGGCTGTTGTCTCCGTAGGCGATATTCTCCGCCAGCGTGCAGTCGAACAGCACAGGCTCCTGAGACACGATGCCTATCTGAGATCTCAGCCAGTGGATGTTCAGTTCTTTGACATTCACACTGTCCAGCACCTGAGGGAGGAATGACACTGGTTTGGTCTTTAGGTCTTGAGTAAATGCCTTTTTGGCCTTTTTGGAAAGCCATTGTAACACCCATAAATCTTGGAGTCTTTACAACAGGACCAGGCTGTTTGTTTGAAGGGTCACAATTTTTTCTTTTCACATTTAAGAGATCACAACTATGGGGTCATATTGATCAAGATTCCCTGGAAGAAGAGATCTTGAATCTGAATGTGACCCTTTTCTGGCTTTCTGTGCAAAAAAAGGTTATTTTTTAGCCTTTAAAAAACATTATATAGAAATAAAATCGAAAATATACAATACAGAAAAAAAGAAAGAAACCTTAGTTTGTGTGGATTGATAAACATAAATGTTCATTTCAAACATATCAAGCCGTATATACCAAAAACACTGATTAAAGATGCTTGTTGGGTAAATACACCGTTTTCCATGATGCCAGACCTGAGAAGATAGCAGCAGCACATCCTCTCTTTTACGTCACCGGACTGAATTGAGAGTTTGTGCAGTAATATAGATAAAAGCACACGTGCTACAACTTCATAGCACCTTAAATTGCTATCAGCATGTTGCTGAAAGACAGCCATAAAAATACAGCTCAGTTACCCATTAGCTAAGAGACAGCAGGTGAAGAGGCACCGGTGTCAAAGGGCTCGCAGCACAGTGAAGAGGCGCGTTTGTCAGCTCACCACTTGGCCCTCCTTGGGGTCGTAAAACCTCTCCAGCAGCTGGATGGTGGTGCTCTTCCCACAGCCGCTGCTCCCCACCAGGGCCAGCGTCTCCCCCTTCTTCACCTTCAGGTTCAGCCCTTTCAGGATGGGCACATCGGGCCGAGAAGGGTAGTTGAACTGAACGCCCTCAAAGCTCACGTTGCCATCGAATTTGTCCTGGAAACGGAGGAGATAGCACAATCGTGTTGACAGAGGCGTATGGGGGTTTATGTTTGATGAGTAGGGCTCTGTGTTTTTTTTCTTTTCTTTATTACCGGCATCTTCCCCTCCTGCGACAGGTTGTCAATGGCGGGCTCCTTGTTCAGCAGCATGAAAAGGTGGGCTGCTGACATTTTAGCCTTGGCGTAGTTCGGAGCAAAGGAGTTGGCTTCTCCGAGCGCCATGGCACCAAAAAGAACGGCTGAAATTACACTGAGAGAGGAAATCAAACTTCCTCAGCATCCACTTCCAGAGTCAACATTCACTGGGGTATTACATTTGTTTTCCATGAACAACCCAGTCACACCAGAGTGTGTTTGCACACTGTCCACTAATAGCAGTCCATATATCATAGAAAATCAGTCCAGTGGAGATTAGGAATTATGTAGTGTGTTGATACTATGAATACAAAATAGGAGGCAGAAATCGTGTGTCATGTCAAATATTCCTCATAAATTTGAATAAATCCTAACGTATGTCAGTGGGTTTTATAATAATAGTAACACAAATAATACAAAGGCACCATCCAAACAGCGCACTCACAAACTAAATACATGTTTCCTGAAATCCTTGACCAAAACTAAACTCACATAAAAGGTGAATTCCATGTGGTTTTTTTTGTTTTTTTGTTCTCAGTGTTTTCTGGGTGCCAGTGTGCTTTATTCAAGCAGTTGTTTGCTGGAAAGCATTTACCATCTAAAAAGTTTGATGTTTTTATAAAAGAAGGCAGAAACCATGAAAATAGACCAGATTTCTTTAAATGTATGTTTTACCTTCATTTGTTTACGTCAAACTTTTATTTTTTTATTTTTTATTTTTTACAAAGAGCTGCATGAATAACCGGAGTTCATATTCTATGTTTTGAACTTTTTCAATCTCTCACTGTACAATGAACTTTGGACTTCCTCTTGGCACAACAAGTGGAATACAAATGCAGGCTGTACTCGCTCTGAGCTGTGACTTGTAGAATTATCCTATAATCCTAAGGTGTGTATGTGTGAACAGCCAGTCAGTCATCTCCGCAGCATTTTGTAATGATTAACAGCCTGTCCTTCATGGGGGACTGTTTTGGTCAGATTCTTTCAGCTTTGAATGCAAATTGTTGGCATTTAGTCATAAACCAAAAAACCCCTGAATGTTAAACATCTGATTAAGGGATGAGACCAGGTTCAGTTTACTCACAGGAAAACTGCTTCGACGTCCATCCTTCCTGCCACAATGAGCCAAGCTCCAAAGCGGAAACAGCCTGCGTAAGCAAAGTAGATCATTGCCTGGGAGAAGGAGAAGGTAAAGCCGTACACGTGGGCCTTTTTAATGGAGTTCCTGTACAGAGGACATAAGCAGCTTCACATCAGAGGGAACACTCCTCACGTTAGTTACATTTGTATCAAATCTATGAGTTGACATACTTATATGGCACTGTGAGGTTGTCCTGATACAGAGACTCAAACTTGGCTTCTCTTGTCAGAGAGGCGACGGTGCGGATGTTCTCTATGGCCTCTGTGGCAATCTGTGGAGACACACCACACAGACATTACATCTGGTGGCAGGAGTAGGCTCTCGTCTGTGAGGAGGCTTGAGCCCACACCTTTCCGGCCTTCTCCAGCTCCTTCTTGTCTTCGGCAGCGTGTCCCGTGAGCATCTTCATCTCAACAGCCCCGGCCATGGCTATGACGGGCACCACAGCCAAAATGAGCAGCGTCAGCTCCCAGCCGTACACGAAGGCCAGGATCACGCCGGTGCCCAGGTTGGCAAAGTTCTGGGCGAGTGTCGCCAAACGAACTCCCGCAGCCTGGACGGGCAGAAAAGGCGGCAGCACTGAAGAGGTTAGATGCATTCGCCTGATGGCTCCCTGTGGGGGTTTTTTTTTGGCAGGGAGCTTTTTTGTTACGGGTCGTGCGTGTACAGGTGTTAAACTTACCCCTTGTACCTGGGCAGCATCTGTGGCCAGTCTTGTAGTGAGCGCTCCAACACTGTTTTTGGGGTGATCAAACCAGCCCAGATCCTACAATAGAACGAGGACAGACCTTTTTTTTCATGACACAAACCCTGTAGAGGACAGCGGGTCATTCAAACTACTGAGCAATCAACACCTGTAGTCGGGAAATTAAATGTAAAAAGCTTCCTCTGAGAGGAAAAAAGGTTGATCATGAGATCAGATTTTTTTTATCAGTTTGTGCAGTTTGTGCATAAAACAGGCTTGAACTGTAAATGTGCAGCTTCAGTGGGTAAACAAAACGAGGAAATTTGTTACGTAAATGCACTTATTTTAGAAAAAACTGACCGTAAATTCATTTAACACAGCCATTAAAGCAGATGTTCATATCAGCTTTCAGTAAAAAGGGTGGGGGTCGGTATAGTGGTGCGTGTCCCTGCCTGTCGCATGGGAAACCGGGGTTCGATCCCACATGTATATAATCTACTTTGTAATTCGCTTTGGATAAAAGCGTCTGCTAAATGCATAAATGTAAATGTCAATGAAGCCACGGCAAACAGCCATCATTCAGACATAACTGAATTCCCCTAAGATTCAGATTTCCTACTGCCAGTAAGTTCTAGATGGTTGTAACTTGGTCCCCTTTAACTACAAGGATGCCTGTAGTCCTGCTTGCACAGCTCTTTCAGAAGTAAGCAGGAGGCCATTTTCATTACACTGAGAAATTTATTTGCACTTTTTCTGTTTGGGCTGTATAGAAAAAAGTGAAATAATACCCATTTCTGTGTTAAAAAGGAAATAAAATGAACTCTAAATGCAAGCGTAAAGACGTTTGCAAAGCATCCAGCTATCTTACTCCTGGTTTGGTCACTCTCAAGATGTGGAAGTCTGGTGAGACCCCACAGACTGTGCTCAGAGCTATTCTCTCATTCCAGCTCAAGCACACACACACAAGCACATGCACACACACACCTGTCTCATCATGGACTTGAAGGCCCCGAGTCTCAGCTTCAAGGTGAGGACCTCTCCAGATTTACCGAAACAGAAACCCTGTTAAGAAATGCAGAAAGACGTTAAAATGCCTGCTCCTCGAACCTTTGACATTTACGCTCTAGCTCAGGTGTATGCAGGTGGTGTTTGAGGAAGATCTCTATTAATGTTGACCTTTAGGATATACAAAGAAATGACAAACCATAAGCTTTGAATGTGTAATCAGGGAGATTTTGTGTACAGTCAATAAGGCATCTTCGACTAATTTATCATCCAACTTTTTTCCAAAAAATGAAAATTAATCAACAACAAAGAAACAAGATTATAGTGTATACTGTGTTTGACCCCTCAGATATTATGCCAAAGGTTTGTTTGAGCTTCCAAAAGGCATCACTAAAAGTGCTGCTGCTTTTAGCTTTTATTATTTGAATTATATTTATTGTATTTTTTCCATTCTTAAGTTTAATTAATTTGCACGGTTCTTCAATTTAGTATTTCATTTACTCTATATCCATCTAATTGGACTGATCAAAGACAGATGCTTATTTTGATGACCAACATTTCCCCAGGGGTGAAGCCAACATGTGAGCACACCTGCAGGAACATGGTGACAAAACAGACGGCTCCGATAGCCACAAACATGAGGGAGAAGAAATTTGACCGTTCCCTGATGACCTCTTGGTCTGGCTCAGCAAACACCTGAGAAGAGATGAGAAAAATAAATAAAAAAAGAATAAGAATTTTTGGCTTTATCCAGCTAACGTGAAACATTGAATCTGTTTTGCAGCACTAAAAGTGTCCTACAGTGATAATCTTGGAGAAGAGGACAGCAAACAGAGGCTGTATTGCTCCATTGATGATGGCACAGATAATTCCCACGAGAACATATGGCCACTCTGAAATGTTGAGACGCATCACTTTGAGGAAAGACACAGGGGGGGCTTCTTCATCCTGCCAAAAGGATTGGGATAAAAAGAAAACAAGAAAGTAAGAAAAACAGTGTCAGGGATCAAATGGCAGGAAACATGGAGAGCAGTGGTAGGAAAATAATCTTGCAGAATCAACATAATATTTTCCAATTTTGGAGCAACCCTTTCAATCCTTACAACTGGGTTAAATCAATGTGGAACCTGAGGAGGTGACACCCCACTTTCAGTACTTCCTAATTCTTGGTTTAATTTAAACAAAGAAAAGAAAAGAAGACTATATCTGATTTCATCACATGTTTTTGCTCCCATTTATCGATCTAAACGCAGCTTCACTATGGAGCCTGTAAAAGCAGAGTCCATTTATACAGTAAGAGAAGAACCTTTTTCAACACCTTTCATCGATCTGTGGACACAACTTCTATAAATCGAGTTCCCTTTTCATTCAAAACTCTGTCACGTGCACATGTTAACGCCACATAATCTGCACCCAAGTTCACCTCTGGTATGTCTTTCTTTAACTTTTCCTTCTCCTCCTCCCCCCCCTCTGATACGGCGAAGGAGGAGCCTCGTGTGGACTTCCTCCTGAACAGGGTGCTCTCAGAGATGGGCTTGTCCAAGGGGCTCTTCTCATCAGCGCCCAGCTCGTTCTCCGTCTCCCCCTCAGCGTCTTTCTGGAAGGTCTGCGGCGAGAAGGCAAGTCAAAGCCCGGCTCCTTTTAGGATCTGGGAGAACAGGCTGGGGTTTCTCTTACCTGCATGGTGACCAGAGTGTGGTAGACTCCTTTTTTCTCCATCAGCTCAGCGTGAGTTCCCAGCTCTACAACCTCCCCTTTCTGGAAGCCAGCGATGACGTCGGCATTTCTGATGGTGGAGAGGCGGTGAGCCACGATGAGTGTGGTGCGACCCTGACGGACCTGCGCAGAAACAAATGCAACGGCTCGTTAAAACGCACACCCGTCGAACTGCAGGTGGGCCAAAAAGAGACACTTGTAACAGAAACAAACCATTTGTGAAAACCACAAGTTAGTCGCTGTGTTTGTTTAAAGAAAGAACGAAGCTGAAATCTTAAAAGTCACCGAAGTAGCTTTGCAGCTAATAATGCAAACTCATGTTTTTTATTCTAAAGACTGCACCTTATCAAGAGCGGCTTGCACAATGGTCTCACTCTCAGCGTCCAGAGCAGAGGTGGCTTCGTCCAGCAGAAGGATTTTGGGGTTGCGGACTAAAGCTCTGGCAATGGCAATCCTCTGCTTCTGCCCGCCGCTCATCTGAGTTCCCCGGTCGCCCACAAGCGTCTCAAACTTCTGCTCCACAACAACAATCCCAGTCAAAGCCAAACTGAGACAAAGACTCACAGTCACAGACAACCAAGGAGCAGAAATATTTTCCTACGTTAGGAAGGTTCATGATGAAATCATAGGCATTGGCTTCCTTGGCGGCCTGTTCGATATCATGCTGCGTCACGTCCGGTCGGCCGTATCTGATGTTCTCGGTGATGGTGGTGGCGAAAAGGATGGGCTCCTGGCTTACCACTCCAATCATCTCTCTTAGGTAACGGACATTTAAAGAGCGGATGTCGTGACCATCAATGGAGATCTGCATGATGAAGCCCACAGGTTGTCAGTTAGTCTTCTCTGTGTTCATTACGTCCATCCATCATCGAGCTAAATTTTCCCACAGCTCAGCATTGTGCTACAGCTACAGGTTAACTTTTATCTCAGTATATCATGAGACAATAATAAATATAACAACTTTAATGAAACCTGTAATTCATGGTTAAATGCATTTTATGATCATTTAAAATGTTTGTGCTTCATAATGGTTAAATATCAAATAATGGGGTCAACTTTGAATTCAGCTCAGACATTCCAATTATTCCTTCATTTTGGAAAGTTTCAAATTGGCTTAAGTCCATGTGTGTAAGGAGGCTGCACGATGGATTACAATGACAGAGTTTCGCATCACTTACAGATCCCTCTTGTGGGTCGTAGAACCTCTGCAGCAGCTGGATGGTTGTGCTCTTACCACAGCCACTGCTGCCCACTAACGCCGTGGTCTGTCCGCTTGTGACTTTCAGACACATGTTGTCCATTATCTACATAGGACACCAATGTCAGTTAGAGTTAGAAACATGGCTACGCACTGACAAGTCTTTGAATGAGTCTCTGGTTGTTTTACATTGACTTCAGGCCTGGAGGGGTAGCTGAAGTGAATGTTGCGGAACTCTATGTCTCCTTTGATGTAGTCGGGCCTGTAGCCGGCATCCGAATAGCTGTCGATGCTCGGGTTCTGTGGAGAAAACAGTCTGTTCTGGTTTGCAGTTTGACCAAAGAGCAATCAAGACCATGGTTCTTAGAATAACCTCAGACAGACAATGGGAGGAAGGCTGGTAGCTCTACAGCTACGAGAGGGAGAGTGTGTTAAACAAAGCTAATGTTTATTTGCACTGGTCTTAGTGATTTTGGTGTTTTTTTTGGTGCTCTAGTGCACACACACATACACACACACACTCTTGCTTTGTGGCCCACACAGGCTGACCAACGTGTTTATAATCTGAAACAGTCTTATAGAAGTCTAACCTTTCAACTAGACAGTAAAACTTATCTGTAAACACCTTTGAGCTCAACAATAAACCCAAGGGAAAGACAAACAGTAAAACAATGTGGTGAGACTATAATCTCTTCTGCACACAGCATATGGTATCCTTTATCTGTATTTCAAATTGTAAAAACTGAACATGAACTGTAACTAGACGCAGAAAATACTGAGGTCCATACACAGGAAGCCTCAGCCTGAATAGGGATTTTTAAATGACTTGTTAGGATTCGGTAGAACTGGATTTACACAGAACACTTTGAGAGCAGGCCCACAGCTGCAGCATCAGCCAAACATCCAGCTGGTCCTTCACTCAAGCAGCAGGAGACCCAATTAAAGCAAAGTCCATCACATCCATCACATCTCTACAGGCTCCAGGTTGCCGGCTGCATCAAAGCAGTGCTACAGAGCACCAGGGCACAGTGGCTCCGGTTCAGTAATACGAGCTGACAAGTGTCCAGCAGCAGGGGGATTAAAGAAGAGGAAGAGTGTGTTTTGGACCAAATTCGTTGCATTCCTTACATGATCGATTATGCCGTACACTTTATGTGCAGCTCCGCGGGCACTGGCAAAGTTCTGGAAGTTCGGAGAGGTCTGTCCCACCGCAAACACTCCAATGAGCACAACAAAGAAAACCTTGAAAAAAAATGCTTTGGTTAGCCGGGCCAATATGTCGAGGACGTGAAGCAGAAGTTCAGCCACAAACGTCTACTTACGGTGAGCACCGATCCGATTGTGTACTCCTTGCTCAGGATGAGGGTGCTGCCGTACCAGAAAGCCAGGGCATAGGACAGGTAGATCATCATGAAGGTGAAGCCCATGGCAATGTTAGCAGAAATCGCCTTCTTTATTCCCATCCTTTTGGCATCCTCCAGGTTGTTGTGATACCTGGTGAGCACAGAGAGGATTAAACACACGGCTAAAGCCGTCTGTTAAAATCTGCTCTGGAATGGAAACATTCATCCACAGTTTAAATGGCTGCTTTGCTCCCGCTTACAAACCTCTGAATTTCTTTGTTTTGACCACTGAAGGCAAACACTGTCCTGATGGCAGAGAGCACCTCCTCTGCCACAGCACCAGCTTTAGCATACGCAGTCTGCTCTTTGGACGTGAAGGTGGTCAGCACCTGTTTGAACCGGTAGAAAACGTCTTGTTGGCCTTCGAGCTTTGTTAGTGGACAACCCCCCCCAAAAAAACAGTTAACTTAAAACACTTCTGTCAGATGAATTGTCATGAAAAAAATGTAATATTTGATCAGGAGTCATCACAATCAGCAATCATGGATGGCAAGAGAAGGATGTAAGGGGAAAATACCAATAATCATAAATGCAACTGTTTCAATATGACTTTCCAAGCACTTCCTGTTTACTGTCCTACACAGATGCAGGAGGACTGTTCCTCTGAAATTGTTCAACTATGATTTGACAGCACGAATGTGTCCTTAGAATGCTTATTATCTTGCTGACTAATTTCTGGGGCCAGTAAATAGTAGTGCAAAATGCTGTACCTTCAGAGCACTCTGCTACGTCGTGCTGGGTCGCTCTCACTTTCTGAAGTTTGATCTCTCCTCCTAATACATTTCTATTCCTTACTTCCTGAACAAGCGGCGTACCTTACTGAACAGAGCAGCAGAGATGCCCAGCGCGGGGCTCACAGCCAGGATGACCAGCGTGAGCTTCCAGCCTTTGGAAAAGCCGATGGCGAACGATGCAATGAAGGAGCTGAAACTCTGGATCAACATCCCCACTTTGTCCCCAATACCCTCCTGGATTTTATAGACATCGCTGCAAATACAAACAAGTCCACCCATGACCCTCTGAACACACGTTGAATGAGCAGTGATGGACAACCTCCGCCCCCCAGGGAGACGGTTTACCCACTCTGTGAGTCGCGTGTTCAGCTCTCCCGTTTCGTTGACGTCAAACCAGCCGATGTCTTGCTGCATGATCCTGTGGAAAAACAGGGTGCGGATGCGATTCACCTGCCGCCCGGCTGCCAAGCTCCACAAGGACACCTGCAGGTAGGCTGCCACCAGCACCACGGCTCCCATGATGGAGTAATAGATGGCGAAGCTGGGAGGAGAGAGAGGACACATGAGAAGCATGCCTTCTAACTTGACTTGCTTGTTGTGGACGTTTCGTTTGCACTTACACAGTCATCTCCTCTTCTAAATTGCTGGTGAGGTTTTGGTAAGCCATTTCTGTAAGCACGAAGGTTACAATATGAAAACATTAAAACGCCGTACTACTCTGTATTCTTGTCATTTGAGTGTGTGCAGGAAAACAGCACCACGCCAAACCCTGATATCAAACTTAATTCATTGACATTTTGCCTTCAGGCAATTAGATTTTCTATTAAAAGAACAAAGAAGGAAAGAATCAATAGTTTCCTGTCATCTCAGAAAACTCACCAGGGTTGGTGATGTTGGAAGAAGCACTAGCTATAAGGCTGTCCGTCATGTCTCCAAAAACAATACACATGAGAGGGAGCACTACCCCGTTAGCCATGGCCATCACAGTCCCAACGATAATCATCAGAATGTCCCAGCCATCTGCAAACCTGAACTGCACTCACAAAGAGAGGAAAGTGAGGAATTAGAGCAGTCTGGACATCAGAGAAGCTATTATCCTCTCACAACAGGGGACTGGTGGGGTTCAGCTGAACAACAGGAGGATGTGCCGCACTCCCATCCGATCTCCCTGCTTCCCCTCGCACTGTACCTCACACGCACACACAAAGACACACACACCTCAGTCATATGCTCAAGATCAGACCTTTTACAGTATTACAACATCAACATGACCGTACACCCGTAAAATCGAGGAAATTTTGCTTGGTTTTTTGTTCCCACGCATATTCAAACGGCAGAAAACCGAACAACTTCCTGCATAAGCATGAATCTGGTACCCAATTCTGACAGGCCTGAATCATAGTGTGACGGCTGGGCTTACCACAGCGAGGGGGCCGACCATGGGCTCCTTCGGCGCCTTTTCTTTCTTCTTGTCTTTCTCTTTTCCATCCTCACCGGCTCTGGAGAAGTTGTGTACATTATTTAAAATACCATTGGCATACAGATATGTGAAAACACAAGCAAGAGATTAAACAAGTGCTACTTCAGTAAACCTCTGAGTATCAAACTACAAATGGCAGGATGGTCTAACTCATGATAATTTGTTACTGGATTACACTTAAATATGTGTAGATATTCTTAATATTGCATCTTGAACACAGCATGGGACATTGGACTATGTAGTAAAAAAAAAAAGCTATTTCTTTCAAATCCAAAGCCACACCTTGTGTTATGAATGAGCAAAGTAACAAGTTCCCTATGTTTTACGGTGAATGTCATGTATTGCAGAGCACTGTTGGACATTATCAAAGCAAAAATAACAATCCACTGATCTTTCACTCAGCTGAAATAAAATAAATATGTCAAAGATGATTTTACCTTAAGTTTCCATTCTGTTCCTGTTTGTCTGCGGACAGTTTTTCCATCTCCCTCTTCTCCTCCATGTCTGTGTCCTGTCACTGTTTACATTTTAGATTTAAGACATGTAAACAAAAGTAAGATCAGTATTTCTTACAGGAAACCGGCAAAGACGCTATAAAACACTCCTGACACACTTTGAGCATGAACCTAAACACTTTCACCACACATGAACGTTGAGAAGATGACAGACTCCAGCCAACGTCTCACACTCTAATATAATCGGGTAACAAACCGAAGGCTGGACGTACCGGTCCCTCTGCGCTGGCCACTGTCTCTCTGTGCTCCGTCCCGTCTGTTAATATCAATACATGACCGCAAACTCCTATGACGTAACCACGTCCCTCCTCCTCTTCCTCCTCGTTTGTCTTAATTACCTCTGTTTTTTTCAGGACAGAGAAATAAAAAATGAACAGACACAGTTTTCCCGGATTCCTTTCAAAGCTACCTTATGTTTGACCAGCTAGCCTTAACGGTAAATAATTAATTAAATGTGAGTCAACATTGAGCAGGGGCGTGCATTACAGGTGCTGGTGCCTCATGCTCTCTCATGTGCGACCCCCCGCCCCCCCTTTTCTTTCCGTTGAATATATACACAGATATTTATTTGTGTGGTATGTATGTAGACAGAGAGAAAGATGTCTAGATGCCAGAAGCCACAATGAGTCATACTGCTTATCGTTTTTTTTCTTTTGGCATTATCATCTAAGACTGACTTTACGGGTGGTTAAAATGTTGCCAAAGTGAGAGTCAAAGGTTTATTCATCAGAATGATGTCATTGACACAAGTCAAGCTTAAAAAGGTGTGCTAATCTATAGGAAATTTGATTTCTCAATGTTTTAGCCTTTAGAGGTCCCAGCATGGAGATGATCTTTTTAACTATATAATTTTTTTCAGCTCATTAAATAAGAGCCAACATGGCATGTCAAATCATCATAAATCCAAAATAGAAACACAACTTGAATGGTGAGTGCAATACATAGTGAACTAATTCAGTTTTGAACCATGGTCATTTTATCAGTGGAGAAGACAACCAGTTGCTTAAATAAGGAAAACATTTTTTTTTAGCATACTAGAAAAATTACCCAATCATTGTCATAATGTCAAATAATCCTTACAATAGAATTTTGCAGTCACAGCATGAGAAATGTCAGAACTGTGGTTTTCTGATCTCTATGACTAAAGTGCAAGAGCTCTCCACTGAGGTGAAAAGGTTCTGAAACTACACCCACAGCAGCTTTACCAGAACACACACACAGATTACTCTGCTTTATTAGTTTTATTTCCTTGTTTTCAATACATGCCATTAAAGTCTATGAAAGAACTCCAAACAAAAACTTATCCAAACACATATCATCATTAGACTATTCTTTCCATAACAACTGTATTTCAAAAAGGACAATATAATGGGTATTTACATGTTTTCCAAAGGAAACATTTCATTCATTCACAATAAAGTGTTGCTTACCTCTCCTCTAGTCCTTTTGAATCGACATACAGATACATAATAACATTTACACCTTGTGCTTTCTCTTAATGAACTAAAAAAGGGGAAAAAACAAAATACTGAGAACATAAACTTTTGTCAAATGTCCCATTTATATTTTTCTGAAGGTTAAGAAGAGAAAATTTAAAATGAAAATTTAACATCTCCTCCAGTCTAAGGTGTATTTGCTTCAAATGGTTGGACTGGGGAAAATCATTGAGGGATTGTGTATCTAGCATGTATAATGTGTTTGATTCCTCTGGAGCAGCTGTCACTTTATATGATCCTAAACTCTGGTCCTTGAAGGCCATTATCCTGCAGGTTTTAGATGTTTCCCAGCCGTAACCCACCTGACTGAAATAATTGCCCCATTGGCCAGCTTGTGAGAAACTTAACATTATTTTGAAGTCGTCAACTGAATCTATATCAGGTGTGTTGAAGTGGGGAACCATCTAAACCCTGCAGGACAGCGGCCCTCCAAGACCAGAACTTGAACTCCTTGCTTAAGTTGTCCCTCTGGTTCAAGATGCCCAACACAGAAGAATAGTCCATTATAATGTTGAATGTAAAAAACACCTGCTGAAGGGAGCCCCTCCACCTGAACCGATGAAACACCTATAGCATGAGGCCCACATCTGAGAAACCTCGCTGTAAAATATCTTTAAATAAGGTAGGCAGACACATTTGATGATCTTGTAAAACAAACAAGCAACATACAAATTATCTATTAAGTAGAATAACAATTAAGGTTGTGATGCACCATAGACTTCATCAGAGAATGGCTGTTGACTATTGAATATCTAAAGGTTTCACATTGGGTCTTAAGGGTGTCATGCACAAATGTATTTTCATATACCACAGACTAAGTTGGAAATGTGACGGGATGTGTAGTTACATCAGCACAATCTGATTTATCATGTGACATTGTTTCACATGGCCGCAGTCCTCGTTAATTGTCACGTCTCATTCACGGTCTTGTGTAAGATTAGATCATTGGGATGAACGCCTTGCTGTGATTGGTTGTGACGTTGTCAGGCAACCGCTGACGTGCCTGAAGGCGCTCATTTTGGCTTTCTGTCACGTGAAATACACACCGGTGTAGGAAGGTGTCGGTCTTTACAAACCCGTACCACAAGTGCACTGCTGCTACACAGACCAGAACCAGAACCACACACGTTGTCCCTAAATGTAAGTCATACTGTACGGAAGCTGACAAACGTCGTCAAAGCTTGTGTCGATAACGTCGTATCAGTCTGCTTTCTGGTGATATTTATGGTCCTTGTAGGCAAACAAACTAACCCCCAAAAAACAATTCAATGATACAAAATAAACGAGTGGTTCCCAACCTTTTCTTTTGGCTGTTGACCACCTCTGTGCTGTGCTGGCAGCTGGGCAGCATAGGTCAAATCCCTGTTGGCTGAAGTGTCAAAGTGAAATCAGCCATTTTGCCCCTTACCCAGCCTTATTAAAGCCAGCCCGTGTTTAAACCCCAGCCTGTTATTCAACGTTCATGTGAGACAGTGTCCCCAGCAGCTGATAAGCTCAGCTATGGGTTACACTCACTTCCTTGTCCATTTTAAACCCACAATGTCAAGTAGACCCCCCCTCGAACACCCCCCAGTCATATTTTAGATGCCTGTGAGTTATTTTTATACTAATACTGCAGCCAGTCATGTTTCCACTCACCGAAACAACCAAATATCATTGGTCTCAAATTAAACATCGAACAGGGTTCCGTCCTGGGAATGAAATGTTTTAGATCAGTTTATATGGTGGTAGGATTTTCACACTTGAAAAAGTGAAGGTAGACTTTAGAAATAAATGCATGCTTCTGATGCACTCTTGTGGGGTTGCAGGTCCTCTGGGGTCTACATCTTTCTGAAAAGAGGAATAGATGTGCTAGTTTTTTTAATTTTTGAAGGTAGATCTGTTATTCTTTGAGACCACTTGGTGGCAGTCTGACTTCTTCATGGCCTCAGAATTTCAAAGATATAGTTGGTTACAATGACAATGAAGTACAGAAAGTCTTTAAAACTATGAGCCAAGATCAGACAAAGAGGATCCTTTTAGAGCAACTTCACACATTCACAGAGTTTTCAAAGTAATTAAATTAATTTATTTTGAAATTGAGAGTCTCTCTGTGATACACCATTTCATGACTTGATCCATCTTCCTGTACAGTTAAAGCAATAGGTTTCTTAGGATTATGTTTTATGACACATGAGTATGGAATTAAAGATCTAGCCACAGACAGAAATCTATATCACACTGAATAAGAACATTTCTTTAACTCACATTGAACAATACACATGAGCTTCCGACTCATTCTTACATTTCAGATAAATAGAAAGAGTTAATAATTGTAATTGATCTAGTTTTAAGACTAAAATATAAACATTTCATATGGAATCAATTGAGAAAACTTGAGACAGGAAAAAGGATATTTGGTGTTATGTGAAAAAATATCCCTGTTTTTCATTAATAACAGCTCAAATGACAGTATGTATGAGAAAACATTAGATTATATTATGAATACAAACATTATTTATTGAGGGCTCATTTACAAGACAATGAAAATAGATTTGATGAAGTCTGATGTTACTTTGAAGGCTCCAACAGGAAGTGCCCCC